AAGGTAGAAGAAGTGAGGTGAAATTGTAAACATGCTTGGGGTGTATAGATCGAGGTAGTCAGGAAATGTGGTGTGTGGTGGTCAACATTTATGGATATAAAGAATGAGGTGTAAAGGATGGTTCATACAAGGTGATAGAGATGGAGGATTAGATGGTTGAAGTAGTCTGCAGTGCATTTCACGTACTGAGTAGTGTCTGGGCATCTGCGTTTGTGTTCCCTCTGTGGAATTGTCAAAAGATGCATGTTCGGTAGCCTCATCAGAAGTGGATACCTCTGTCCTTTGCTGATGTGACGTAGCATTTAACAGTCCCACCAGCCCATTAGAGAGCTCTTTTGCCCCCCTAGTCTTCCACATAAATAACCCTTTTCCTAGTGACCAAAAGACCTCACTAACTCGATGAGGGCTTTCCGAGTGCAGGCGAAACGAAATGAAAAATGCCTGACACTGGCCCTATTCCCGAAAAACCCAGAACATAAAAATTCCTCTTTATCTTGGAGACAAGTGACCAGTGGGGTGCCTCTGGGTTCTGTCCTGGGCCCAGTACTATTGCACTATAGTGGTATAGTACAATATAGTAATATATAATACTAATATTGTGCTATATTATATGTACATATAATATTGATCATAATATTGTAACACAATATAATACTAATAATAATACAATATAATAATAATATAATAATTATATATTACATGTAATATTACTAATAATATTGCATTATAGTGGAATACTACACTATAGTAATAGATAATAGTAATATTGTGCAATGCTAATAATATAATATATAGTGCACCAGCAGACAGCCTATCCCAGCTGCTTCAGACTGTGTCGGAGTGGTCCTTGAGGTTCCCCAGACTTATCGTCTTGGGGGATTTCAATGTCCACGCTGATGCAGACTCTTGTTCATTAGCAGCTATGGACCTAGTGTCTACCATGGAGGCACTAGGACTCTCGCTTTGTAGTACTGGGCCCGAGCATCGGGTGGGACACATGCTAGATCTGATTTTCAGCGCAGGAATTCAAGTGACCCAAGCTTCCACAATAGAGGTTCCATGGTCGGATCACTGCGCCCTGAGAGCATGCCTACCCACCCTGCAAGGGCGCCGAGCCAATTTGGGTTCGCCCAAGGAGACTCATGGAACCCAGCACGTTCTGGAATGCTCTGTGGGATCTGGAGCCTGCCAGCGACTCGATCGATGTGCAGGTGGACACATGGAACATCAGGCTATCCAATGCACAAAGGAAATGGGAAACGAAAACAAAACTGCAGCTGGCTAGGAGTTATCTCACAGGCACTCCCTAGTATTTCACACAGCTAGAAACTCAGGGTCACATTCTCACAGCCTTCTGTGTAAACATACATCCTGGCAATACAATCCTATTGCAATCACATTTATACTACATTAAATTACATTTAAACATACATCATACATGAAAATATACACTGACACATATCATATTGATAATATTATAATGTAATAGAATATAATACTAATAATAATACAAAATAATATTTATTTTACTAGCTGTCCCCTGCCATGTGTTGCTGTGGCCCAGAGAGATCTTCAGTATGTTTTTTAATTATCTTTGGCACCCCCTCTGAGCCCCCCAGGGGTCCCGGCCACCCAGGTTGAGAAATACTGCCTTACATTTACATTCAAATCACTCCACTTGATACCACTTGGTTTCTGGGTAAAAAGACAAAGTATTGGCTATTACCTTTATATTGGTTATTACCTTTATTACATGGTTTGGGTCCAAGATCGGCTTCTTCCATACAATCTGGTCATCTGGAAGACAGAACACAGTGCAGGGATGTATAGTTCACCTACAGTCAAAGAGCATTCTGAACCCCACCAAGGATAGAATTGGGCCAAACTTCCCACACAGAACTCCCATGACCAACAGAAATACTGATACATTTTCTGAGGTTGAGAAATGCTGAGAACCACTTGTTTAACCCATTGTGCCACTGTTGCACAAAGGAAGCCTGATCCCTCTTCCTTATGGCATCCTTTCAAATATGCAAACATGGCTCTCATGCCTCCTCTCAACCATCTCTCCTGCAAGCCAAGCATGCCCTATGCTCCTCATAGGACATGGGACCTGGACCTCCGTCCTACAAACTCTCCTTCTGTATTTGCAGGTATCAAAGGCCGCGGCTGACCTAATGACCTACTGTGATGCCCATGCCTGCGAGGACCCGCTCATCACTCCGGTGCCCACCTCCGAAAACCCATTCCGAGAGAAGAAGTTCTTCTGCGCTCTCCTCTGAGCAACGTTTGTGTCCCTCACTGCAGCCCCAACCAGTTTCGTAAGGCCAGATGGCACAAGAGCCTTTTCTCCTTTCCTTTGTCAATTCCCCTATTAGTTATGGAGGCCCAGAGTTACCTGCACAACTCGGCCTCCATCACCAACCAGCTTATTACATACACTTCACCTGAGCACAATAACCAATCCAAGCAGGATGGACGCAGTTCCCCAGCTCTTTCCAAGAAGAGGACTCTCCATTCCATTTTACAAAGGAGAGGAAGAGAAACAGCACATTGTTTACCTGCCATGAAGGTGTATTCTGGGCTGTCTAGTTCTTCTCCAGTATTCCCAGTGGGATCTCAAATTCATTTAGTCCCATTGGAATATAATATAAACATTCAATGTGGAGTGTTTTGTGACAAAACTACCAACCAGGTTTAGCTAATCAGAGCCCTCTATTCTCCCAACCCATCCATTTTAGGAAAAGGTCCAGTGTTTTCCAAATGGTTTTGTGCAACCACTGTTCATCTGCCTTGTTATCAGAGAGCACAGAAAAGGAATAAAATTGGAGACACTAAAGCGAGTCCATAGCTTGGGATGGCAAAATGGAGGGAAAGGGTTGATGCTGTCTATCTGAAGAAATGCTCACGAAGGTGCTTCCCAAATCAAGTCACAACAAAACAGAGGGACCCAAGAGGTCAAATTACATGTATTTGAAATGTCTGCCTTTCAATTTAGAAATAAAGAACAGGCCAAAATTACTATGGCAACCACAAAAAAATGAAGGTGTGGATAGTATGCTTGGGATTTTAACACCGGTGTGTGTGTGTGTGTGTGTGTAAAACTGTAATGCCAAATCTAGGTTCAACATATCATCCACTTCATCAGATCCCAGATGCCTTAAAGAGCCAGACTCAAGAGTATGTCCAAAAGTAGAGTTGATTAACACAAAGTAAAAGAAACTCAGAGACACTTACTTCAGTGTCTCTGGTCAAAACTCAAAAGTAGCAGCAAGTTCCAGTTCAAAAAGCAAACTGAAGCAATAATCCGGATTATCCGGAGAAAAGATCCAGATTAAACTGAAGTGCTTCAAAAGTCACGCAAAGTAACACAGCAAGTAAAGGACAAACAAACAGAGCCGCAAAGAAGAAGACGTAGTCAAACGAAGTCCGAGGTCAAAGTAAGCCAAGTCCGAAATTGCAAGGTTCCAAAGTCCACGTAGGCAGTGTCGTAGTCAAAACCGGTCCAAAGTCAAAGAAGGGGAAATCCGCACTCACGAGAATTCAAGCCGAGTTGTAACACGAACGGAAGCAGCAACCTGCAGATCCAGAACCCAAACCCAACACGAAAACGGCAGCAACAAAACGCAAGGCACGAAACCAACACTTTGCCTTCTGCAAAGATTCCCCATTTCAGTGCCTACTTTTATCTTACAACTCATCATCTGATGAGCTGACCTCCGCCCCGTCATTATCTCTTCCAGCTGTCCTTGCCTCCATACCCGAACCCCGACGCCCATCCCTCCAACTCTACCACCTCTTGTCAAGACTTAGATCTCCCCAAGACTCAGAAGTATCTCCCGATTGCCAATCCCCCCACCAGAAAACCCCACAAACATGTCACTAAATGTTGGCTGAGTACATACATCTTGAACCTCTTGTACCTTAGTCCAATCCAGTGTATCATCCCAATCCCCATCACTCCTAGACCCATCACTCCCAGAGAAACCCATGAAAGACTCTTCATCTGCGGGAGCAGTAAGTATATCCCGGATCTTCTTCCTTTGTCGCTCCTCATCCGATTCCTGCTCCTGAGTAACCCTCTTAGTTCCCCTATTCACATCCACTGTATCTCCTTTCTCTCCCTCACTCATTGACCCTTCGCTCTCAGAAAACCCTTTGAAGGAGTCTTTGTTGGTAGGTGACATAAGCATATCCTGGATCCTTTTCCTTTGCTGTTTCTCATCTAGCTTTTGCTCACAAGCACTCCTTTCCCCCCTTCTGACACCCATACTACCACTTGAAGAATTACTAACAGGCTCTATTACAACAGACTTAGATGAAGGGTGAGAAGGCGTGATCATCAAATTTGACCAAATGGGGAGGGATAGCCAAGACTCCAGAAGACAAGAGCAGAATTCAAAGTGATCAGAACAGATTAGACAGATGATTTGCCAAAACGAACACAATGACAAAATGAACAAAAGGGGACAAATGCAAGAGACTCCACTTAGGCAGAAAAAAGCAAAGGCAAAGATACAGAATAGGGGACGATGACTGGTTCAACAGCAGGACATGTGAAAAAGAACTTGGAGTCCTCGTGGGGGGGAAGGGAAACACAAGCCAACAATGCCATGCGGCAGCTAAAAAAGCCAATGGGATTTTGGCCTGCATCAATAGGAGTCTAGTGCCTAGTTTCAGGGAAATCATGCTCTCCTTCTATTCCGCCTTCGTCAGTCCACTTTACCTGGAATCATATTGTGTCCAATTCTGGGCACAGCAATTGACTCTATGCTGGACTGTGTCCAGAGGAGGGCGACTCAAAGGGTCAAGGGTTTGGAGAACACCAAAGGAGACGTTCAATGAAATGAAAGAGGTTTATGGTGATGATTCCCATCATATGATGGAGTCAAAAACTGGCATCGTTAATTCAAATGTAGTTGGACTTCAGCGCAAACAGCTGCAATTCCAGGGAGGCCCCAATCTGCCATTGAGGAACACACCATTCAGGAAGTGGATGTCGCCATTTTGGAAAATCACTACGCAACAATTTGCCACCTATTATTTATTTACAGTATTTATATTTCGCCCTTCTCACCCCGCAGGAGACTCAGGGCAGATTACAATGCAGATATACACGGCAAAAATTCAATGCCATTTAGACATACAACATATATAGACAGAGAGGCAATTTAACATTCCAGCTTTTCTGGCTTCATGAAGGTATGCTCGGTTCCAGCCACAGAGGGAGCTGCCTCATCACCGTCCACTAGTGACACTGGGTCCTTTGGAGTACTTCCTCATTCTTCCGCATGCTGATGGAAGGTTATATGGCGTCGTAAATTAATTAAATTAACCTCTCCGCATAAAGCGTTACTTACATTCCCTTCTTGACAGATGCAACTGTCTTTCAGGCTGCATAGGTCAACAGCAAGCTAGACTATTAATTGTAATAATAATAATAATAATAATAATAATAATAATAATAATAATTTTATTTGTACCCCGCTACCATCTCCCCAAGGGACTCGGTGCAGCTTACATGAGGCCAAGCCCACAGCACATCAATAAACAAAAGCGATAACAAATAATCAATACAAAACAGTTAAAATAAAAACAAAAACAAAAAATACACAATAAGCAATATCAATAACAATAACATACAGCATTTAAAAAACCTAATGGTTGGGAGCTTACTCCAGCCCGAGCTGGCTTTGAATTCATGACTTCTCGTCAGTAGTGATTGAATGCAGCTGGTTACTAACTAGCTTCGCCACAGCCCAGTCCAAAATGTCAAGATTAGCATGGGGTCTGCGGAAGAAATCACCCAAGACCATCTTCACATGCATAAGTTATCCACTTGCTGAGTCCTCTGGCTGCTCACACCTTTCCAGAAGCAGGAATAAGTGGAATGCTCTCAGGCTCTATTTACAATGATATGCCATGCAAACCAGAAGGACTTGTTCAACAGACGGATCACACAGGGTGAAAGCTGGGTCCACCATCACTCTGATCCTGAGACTCAAGTCCAGTCAATGCAATGGGAGCATCCTGACTCACCGCCTCCAAAGAAGGCACATGCCCAACTCTCGGCAGGCAAGGTCACGCTCACAGTATTTTGGGATCAGCACAGAGTAGGGTAGATGAATTTCCTAGCAAAGGGTATCATGATCACTGGGTCATACTAGGCTTCACTACTGTGGAAATGGTGGGAGGCCATCAAAACAAAGAGACAATGTGGCATGCTTGCCAAAGCTGTCCGCCTTCTGCAAGGCAATGCACCAGTTCCCAACTCACCTGCTGCCCAAATGGAAGAAGCATGGTCCTCTGTCTTTGAACTTCTACCGCATCCCCGATTCACCTGACCTTGCACCATTGGACTTCCACCTCTTTCCAACCATGAAGCTATTTTGGAAGGGCAAGCGTTTTTCAGATGATGAAACCCTGATTACCTAACTCACAACATGGCTTTTGGAGCCTGTTGACTTCTACAAGTGAGGTGTTTACAGTTGTTTAAAAAGATGGGAGAAGTGTGTGTCCCTAGGTGGCATCTATGGAAAGGACTAATGACTGTGCCAATTTTAGGTAAATTATAACTCCCAAAATCAAGGACCATTTCCACTAACCCCTGCAGTATGTTCAGTTGGTCATGGGGCTTCTCTGTGCCAAGTTTGGTCCTAGTCCAGGCGGCGGGGATCACAGTATCAGTGGAGGTATTGCAAGTCACATCATCCATGGCAAGTTTGGTCCAGATACATCGCTGGTTGGGTTAACAGTGCTCTCTGGATGTAGGTCAAGTACAGCTCCTGTAAATTATGGTGAATTCTCCACAAGCCTCTTGTTCAGTTGTTGACCAATTCCTCTATTTGTTGTGTGCCATAGGAAAGGGTAGGAAAGTGTTAAGGGAGAGGCAGTGGGCGGGGTCATGCAAATTTCACACCAATGGAGAGAGTAAGAAACACTAGGATGTCTGTGGTGGAGGAAACACGTAAAACCTAGGATGGAATTGTCCCCACATGAAAGCCTTCACTTGGGTAGGGGGCAGTATGGTGTTTGTGGAGGACACTGGCAGGGTTAGCAGCCCCCGGTGGTACAATGTGTTAAACCCTTGTGCTGGCAGGACTGAAGACTGACAAGTTGCAGGTTCGAATCCAGGGAAAGCGCGGGTGAGCTACCTCTGTCAGCCTCCCACAAAGATGGTAAAACATCAAAACATCTGGGCATCCCCTGGGCAACGTCCTTGCAGACAGCCAATTCTCTCACATCAGAAGCAACTTGCAGTTTCTCAAGTTGCTCCTGACACACACACACACACAATGGCAGGGTTTGGGCTACATGTTCATGGCGCTCACTATAACCTGAAATGCCAGTGGAGGGAGGGACAAGGATGTCTCCTGCAAAGTGGGAACTATGGCTGTCTCTGTAAGTGGACACCACCACCTACACACATACACATTTTCACTTTTATTATGTGTATAGATTTGGGGGAACAAACAAGCTAAAAGCATTAAAAAAGCCAGTGCAGCAAGAGAAGGTGGTGGAATCAAGCGAATGGTTATTTATTCTAAAAATGGAAGTATTTCAATCTACATATGCCAGAATTGTTAAAAGAAAGAAAGTTACAGATGTAAACAACCACACAGTTACATGTTGAATGGCAAAAACCCTTTTACTGGCCACTGAAACGTTTTACAATTTGTAAAAACATTTACAGCCTGTTTCACTTGAGCTTCCGATCTACAGCAACTAAGACATACAATCATGAAAAACACGAACAGGCTGAATCTTTTTTGTCCTTTTTTTAGGGGTGTTTTTTTAACACTTTATTTTTTTCACTTTCCCTCTTTTTTTGTTTTGTTTTTATACAAAAATGTGCAGAAAAAAGACATCTACTAAAGTCGCTAAAGATGTAGCAGTTTTAGTCATTCCTCCAGTTTTGCTTTTAGATTTCATATTCTAAATAGCTTCCCAAAGCGATTCCGTTTAAACTGGAACTTCCTGAAGATACTGAAATGAGTTGGGCCTCAAATGTTGGTTTTTCTTGCAATCCCGAGATGTGGAACTGCTTTTGCTTTTCGTCAAGGCAGCATGCCATAACGATGCCCAACTTTTCATAACCTCAAACTTATATGACAGTTCTCTGTGAGTTTTCAAAGCTTACGGAAGCTATTTGCATTCTCACAGACACACAAAACCCTTTCTTCCTCGGAAGAATATTTTCTCGTGGCCAGAAGTGTTTTAAAATACCAATTAACTTTTGTTATAAAAACAGTTGTCACACAATCAGACATTCGGAATACATACATGCAGGGAAATAGAAGAATCCTGCTTCTCTCTAACTCCTATGCTTCCAATCGAGAATAAAAGGGCTGCCCTTCTGCAATGCTCCCTCTACCCATCAGTCAAAATGACAACAAAGTCTTCCAGTCCTGGCAGACTTTAATTCCTTTCTCTGGCTGGGACTGTTGCAATCTTGATGGGAAGGGAGAAAAAAAAGCTGCTTGTAAAAAGAGAGAATTTTTGAATATTCTAAAAAAAAGAAAAAGAAAAAAGAGGTTTGAATTTCAAACAGTGAATCACAAAGAAAAAGAGGCAAATCTTCAATCCCTATGGCTGGGAAATCAGATGCAATTAGGAAATAGGACCCAAAATTTATGCAAGACATATCTGAGAGGGAAATACATCTTATTGTAGAACATTCCCCCAACGGCAGATTAAAAATTAATTGATCTTTGAGTAGCGAGATAGGAAACTAGGTATTTCCCCCCTACTTCTGCAAAAATATCAAAAAAGGAAAATAAAACCTGCCCCGAATGTGAGGAACTTCAAAACATTTTGGACACATAGAGATGTTTCCTTTTTCTTGCGCAACTAATAGAAAAGGACGCATATAGATGGAAGAAGAGGGGAGTTCTTCAGTGGGAGCCTGAGGAAAACATTGAACGTACTAAAGGGCCAGGATCAAAAAAGCCAAGTAAGGATCATGCACACAACCACCCTAGAACTGCAGACTGCTTTCCCCGCCCCCCGCCCCACACCTATCCTTTCCTATAGACAGAGGCAATCGGTTTATAAAAACAGCAAGCATTACAGAACGATTCCTGCCTCCCTCCCCCTCCAGATATAAAACCTGCTGTTTCAGCATGAAGCTCCTCCAAAGGAGAAAAGGAAGGGGGCAAAAGTCACATGCTAGCACGGTTTTGCTTATATACATTTCAGGTGCTAACAACGAGAAGATCCTGCAGAAACCCTGAGAAAAAAAGTTCCTTCCATTCACTAAAAAGGAAAAAAGGGGGGGGGGGCAGGGAGGGAGGGAAGAGGACAGGTACTATGCCGAGATGAAAAAAATGGGGCCAACGAAGAAAGGATGAGCACAGAAATGGACTTGAGAACTGGAGAAGTGGAAGCCCTGCGCTTCCGTAAACAGATCGTGCGAAAACAGACTTGAGAACTTGGCAAATGCAAGTCCTGTGCTTTCTTCTGTGAATGGATCGCAAGTACAGTAGAGTCTTGTTTACCCGATGTAAATGGGCCAGCAGAATGTCAGAAAAACAAAAATGTCAGATAATATGGAGGGATATTAGGCCTCTATATATATATATATTTAGAGGCTAAAATAAAAAGGCCTCCTTCTAAACGCCACTTTGTCCTCCCTCTTCTCCCTTTTTCCCTTCCTTCCTGGTCTGTCTGAATGATTCACTGCTGGTGGGGGGTTCATGCCATCCACGAAGGGCTCCTTCTCTCCTTTCCGCTTCTGCCTCCCTTCCCAGCCTCTTCAGCCCGGGTTTTCCTTGCAATGCAGATGGGGAGCCCCGCCAAGGAGGGAAGCCAATCCCTCGCTCTCCTTCCTTGGGTTGTGGAGATGGCGGGCAAAGCGGGCCTCACCCCCACCAACCCCTGGGCCCTTGGATCCTCGTGAAGCCCTTGGCTGAGACCTTGGCAACCTGATCCCCCTCTGGATTCCTCCTGCTTCTTTCTTCCATCATCATCCTTTTACTGAAGACAAACCAAGGAAAAGTGTATGGGGCTCTTTTGCTCTGGGAAAGGGGTTTGCAAGCTTTTGGGAGGGGGTTAACAATTGGGAACTGACTTTTTCAATATCCTCCCATCAGAGACAGAATGTTGGATAAGCAAAGGTCGGTTAAACGAGACTCTATTGCATCCCACTAAACATTCTGGAAAAATAAAGAGCAAAACCTCTAAGCTGGGATAGATAACGTCTAACGGGCCTTCCTGCTGAATTGCTATTCACTGTCTGAAAACACGGGATAAACTCTGAAAGGCAGGGAAAGAGAAACACTTTGCTTTCCACCATAATATTTCCCCCCTTTTTGATGGGCATATGCCACCATCGCCACCCGACTTTGGAGAAAAAATAATAAAACCCCTAAATAAAATTTTGAAAAAGTTAGGAAAATGCTAAAAGGTGTATTTGTGGCTCAACGCTTCCCCTGGTACCCCTCGTCCACACTTTGCTAAAAAGAGATTCTGCCTCTTGAATGTCCCGCCCCTCCCTCCCTCCCTCCTCCGCCTAGCTGCTTTGTCGGATTTTCCTGCTTGATCGTATGTGGTGGTGTTAAGAGTGCCTCTCCTCTCTGCACAAGTTTCGATTACAAAGGTCTAAAGTTAAGTTCAATTTTTTTAAAGAATAAGACAGTATTGTTTTCAACAAACTTTTTAAAAAATTTACAATTTCTTTTTTTTTAACCTCCCCACCCACCCCCTCTCCCCCAAAAAACCCCCCAATGCCAATCTTTCCCCAACAGCCCCAATTTTCCACTGCTTTGTGTCTTGGGAAGTGGTGAAGGCTTCCCCTTCATCGCACTTTGCTGCTTGGCTGAAGGGTCGAGATGGGGAGGGTTTCACCGGTAGCCCTGGTAGCCATAGTAGTTCCTGTAGTATCGGTCTCTGTCTTGGTAGTAGTTCTGCCACTGAAAAAGGACAATAAAAAGGGTCATTCCACAGCCAATGGGACCAGCTCAAGGTCTCCTCTCTTTGGCAACAACTATAGGCCTGTGTCAAATCTCCCTTTCCTGGGTAAGGTTCAAGAGAAAGTGGTGGCTTCACAACTCCAAAGTTTCTTGGATGAAACTGACTATCTGGATCAATTTCAATCTGGTTTCGGGCCTTGGTGAATTTGTATGTGTGTGAGGAGTGACTTGAGAAACTGCAAGTCGCTTCTGGTGTGAGAAAATTGGCCAGTTGCCCAAGGGACGCCCTGATGTTTTATCATCCTTGTGGGAGGCTTCTCTCGAGTCCCACCATGGGGAGCTGGAGCTGACAGAGGGAGCTCATCCCTGCTCTTCGCGGATTCAAACCTCCAACCTGTCAGTATTCAGTCCTGCTGCCACAAGGGTTTAACCCAGGAGTCCTCAAACTTTTCAAACAGAGGGCCAGGTCACAGTCCCTCAAACTGTTGGAGGGCCGGATTATAATTTGAAAAAAAAAAATGAATGAATTCCTATGCAAACTGCGCATACCTTAGTTGTAGTGCAAACAACACTTAAAAACAATACAATAATTAAAATGAAGAATAATTTTAACAAATATAAGCTTATTAGTATTTCAATGGGAAGTGCGAGTCTGCTTTTGGCTGATGAGATAGCATTGTTGTTGTTGTTGTTGTTGTTGTTGTTGTGTGTTTTCATTCAAGTTGTTTCAGACAGGTTGACCCTGAGCGAGGGCCGGGTAAATTACCTTGGAGGGCCGTAACCCATTGCGCCACCGGGGGCTCATCAGCCTTGGTGGATGATCTACCAGAGAGCTAGACAAGGGGAGTGTGTCCCTGCTGGTCCTCCCAGACCTCTCAGTGGTTTTTGATACCATTGCTCATGCTATCCTTCTGGGCTGTCTCTCTGGGATGGGGCTTGGAGACACTGTTTTACAGCGGCTCCGGTCCTTCCTGGAGGGTCGGACCAGAATGTGGAGCTGGGGCACTCCTGTTCAACTCCCTGGCTTGTCGCCTGTGGAGTCCATCAGGCTTCAATTCTGTCCCTCGTGCTGTTTAACAATCACATGAAACTGCTGGGAGAGATCATCCAGAGTTTTGGAGTTTGGTGTCAAATTTACACCGATTACACACAATAAATAATAATAATAAACTTTTTTTTTCTTCCACTCTATCTCCCTGGAGGGGATCAGGGAGGATTCCAAACATAAAAACAGGTTCGCAGCTTGGGAGTGATCCTGGATTCATCGCTGAGCCTGGAACCCCAGGTCTCGGCGGTGGCCAGGTGAGCTTTTGCACAGTTAAAACACTTGCACCAGCTGTGCCCATACCTTGGGAAGTCTGATCTGGCCACGGTGGGCCACGCTCTGATTACCTCCTGAATAGATTACTGCAACGCGCTCTACGTGGGGCTGCCTTTGAAGACGGTTCGGAAACTTCAGCTAGTCCAATGGGCGGCAGCCAGATTACTAACTGGGGCGACATACAGGGAGCATACCACCCCCCTGTTGTGCCAGCTCCACTGGCTGCCAGTCCATCTCCGAGCCCAATTCAAAGTGCTGGTTTTGACCTATAAAGCTCTATACCAGGGGTCCTCAAACTATGGCCCGCCAAGGGCACTTATCCGGCCCACGGAGGAGGGGCACCCCCCCACACACACCCCAGAGTCAGACACGACTGGACTTCATGTCAGAGGAAAACCTTTAACTAGGAAAATTGTGGAAGATCCAGGATGGGAGAAAGAACTCTTGTCTGTTGGAGGTAGGTATGAATGTTTCAATTGGCCACCTTGATTACCATTTCATAGCCTGACAGTTTTTAGGGAGAATCCTTAGTTGAGAGGTGATTAGCTGGCCCTGATTGTTTCTTATCTGGAGTCCCCCTGTGTTTGAGTGTTGTTCTTTATTTACAGTTATAATTTTAGAGTTTTTTTTAATACTGGTAGCCAGATTTTGTTCAGACTAGAAATAGGAAGATTTTCCATTCTCTGCTCCTGGAATTACTGCCTAAAGAGGGCTAGAAAGAACCCCCTCTAAGGGCCCTTCCACACAGCAAAATAATCTTAATGTGCAATGTGCATAGTAATTTTTTAATTGATTTTTTTTTTAAAAAAAACTATAGTCCGGCCCTCCAACGGTCTGAGGGACAGTGAACTGGCCCCCGGTTTAAAAAGTTTGAGGATCCCTGCTCTATATGGTTCTGGCCCAGCTTACTTGTTCGAACGCATCCACCCCTACGTCCCACCTCGTAATCCAAGATCATCCGGGGAGGCCCTGCTCTCGCTCCCGTCAATTGCGCAAATGCGACTGGCAGGGACGAACGAGAGACGGCCTTTTCGGCGGTGGTCCCTCGCCTATGGAACACACTCCCAAATGAGGTAAGATTTGCTCCCTCCCTCCTGGCTTTTAGAAAGAAATTAAAATCATGGCTTTGGAACCAGGCCTTCGGACAATAGATGTTTGTAGAATTTAAAGGACATGGGCTAGAATGACAATACAACTAGCGAGACTGTTTTTATTATTTATTGTTTTAATGATTGCTTGTGTGCTGTCTAATTATGATTTATACTTAATTGGGTTTTATTCTTGTGGTTGTTACAGATTGACATCGCGTCAGTGTCCATTGTATGGCATTGAAGTTTTGCCAGTTATGTGTAAACCGCTTTGAGTCCCCCTAGGGGTGAGAAAAGCGGTATAGAAATACTGTAAAATAAATAAATAATAAATAAAAAGTAAACATTCAGTGCCCGAATACAACAACAATACATCCATACTAACAAAATTTAACGACCCAACATATAAACATGAATATATATATATATACATATATACACACACACACACACACACACACAACAATTACTGTATATACTCTAGTATAAGCCTAGTTTTTTAGTCCCCTTTTTAGGCTGAAAAAGCTGCCCTCGGCTTATACTCGAGTCAAGATTATTTATTCTTTTACTCTGTTATTACTATTATTTTTATTACATGTATTATTTTACTCTATTATTGGTATTATTACATTTACATTATTTTACTCTATTATTATTTTATTACATTTACTATTTTACTCTATTATTAGCATTATTACATTTGCATTATTTTACTCTATTTATTATTATTATTATTATTATTATTATTATTATTATTATTATTATTGCAATTGGTGGGGACGAGGGATAGGGCTTTCTCGGTGGTGGCCCCTCGACTCTGGAACTCTCTCCCTAAGGACATCAGGCAAGCCCCATCGCTGGCAATTTTTAGGAGGAGCTTGAAAATGTGGTTGTTCCAGTGTGCATTCCCAGAATAAGGAAACTTCAAGCATTTTGTCCCCAACGCACTTTATCAGAGATTTAGGATATCTGCATACCCATCCCTCTCCAAACACCCACCCTTTCTCCTGGTCATGCAGCACGTTTTAATTTTAATTATTCAATTTGGCCCTGCCGTAGTTTTTAATTGCGTCATTATGTGTTGTTAATGTTATTGCTTTGTTTTTTATTTATTTTGCTGTATTATTGTTGTTGCTGTTTTATTGTTGTATTTGGGCTCGGCCTCTTGTAAGCCGCACCGAGTCCTTCGGGAGATGGTAGCGGGATACAAATAAAGGTTTGTTTATTATTATTATTATTACATTTATTATTTTACTTTATTATTACATTTATTATTTTACTCTATTATTGGCATTATTACATTTGCATTATTTTGCTCTATTATTATTTTATTACATTTATTTTACTCTATTTATTTCTATTATTATTACATTTATTATTTTACTTTATTATTGTTGTTATTACACTTATTATTTTACTTTATTATTATTGGAAGGATACATAAGCACATTAACACTGAAAAAGATTAGAATAATGGTTTAATCAAAGTTGGTCAGTCTTATTTTAAATTAGTTTTATGTAAACATTGAAAAACATTTAACCTACTGTTTCTTCAATTAATGTAATTTTATTGGTATCTATATTTGTTTTGTATTACCAGTAGCTGCTGCATTTCCCACCCTCGACTTATACTCGAGTCAATATATTTTCCCATTTTTTGGTGGTAAAATTAGGTGCCTCGGTTTATATTCGGGTCCGCTTATACTCAAGTATATACGGTAAATAAAAAACACAGCCTGTTATAACAGACATAAGACAAAACATCAAACATTGAACACCCAACTCTATTACTCCTTATCACCGAAAACCAGTGCCTGTCATCACTGATGGACTAGCTGAAGGCTAATAAGTTGAAAGTAAATCCAGACAAGACAGAGACACTCCTGGTCAGTCGGAATACAGATCAGGGTGTGGGATTACAACTTGTGTCATACTCCCCTTGAAGACACAGGTCCGCAGCCTGAGAGTGATCCTGGATTCATCGCTGACCCTGGAACCCCAGGTGTCGGCGGTGGCCAGCAGCACATTCGCAGTTAAAACTTGTGCCCCAGCTGCGTCCATACCTTGAGATGCCTGACTTGGCCATGATAGTCCACGCCTTGGTCACATCCTGTTTGGACTACTGCAATGCTCTATAAGTGGGTCTGCCTTTGAAGACAGTTCGAAAGCTGCAATTGGTGCACAAATAGGCAGCCAGATGGCTAACCGGAGTGCCATATCATGAGACTCCCATGCTGTGGCAGCTCCAATGGTTGCCATCCCACTTCTGGTCCAAATACAAAGTGCTGGTCATTATCTATAAAGCCCTAAAAGGTTTGGGTCCAGGCTATTTGTCCAATCACATCTCCCTTGCAGACGGCCAATTCTCTCACACCAGAAACAACTTGCAGTTTCTCAAGTTACTAATGACACGACAAAAAAATCTCCCTATATAGACCATCTCGTGCACTATGGTCAGAGGAGAAGGGCCTCTGGTGAGAGCGAGAGAGGGAGCCTTCTCCGTGATCGCACCCCATCTCAGGAACTCCCTTCACATCGAAAGAAAAATGGCACCCACCCTCCTCTCCTTTAAAAAGCTCTTGAAAATGCACTTTCAGTCCCTGTGAGAATTGGATTTTTTTTAAATGGCTTGTTGTCTAAAAAATACTCACCTCTCGATTGTAGTCCCTGTAATAGTCTCTGTATCTGTTGTACTCATAATCACGTCCATAGAACCGATTGTAGTCCCCCCTGTATCTGTCATAGAAATTGCGATAACCCTGCAAATTCAAGTTAAATATTAGATTTATCAGAGGCAGGAAACAGGGCCTGATATTACCCTAATGTTTTAGCTTTTTTTTATTTATTGTGTCGGGGCAGACCAAACAGTTGCATTGCATTTTTAACAAAATAAACAAACAAACAAAACACAAAGTTTGCAAGCTTGGTAGTTGATGAAATGTCCCTTGACCAGTATTTGGCCACTTGGAGTGCCTCTGGTGTTGCTGCAAGAAGGTCCTCCATTGTGCATGTGGCAGGGCTCAGGGTGCATTGCAGCAGGTGGTCTGTGGTTTGCTCCGCTCCACACTTGTTTTCTCACACACAATGTTTTAGTGAGCCAGCCTTTTCCTATACCACTGAGGCCACAATGCTTCAGTGCTACTATTCTTTTAGAAGTGCCTTTCATTGTGTTGTCAAAGGCTTTCATGGCCAGAATCTCTGGGTTGCTGTGGGTTTTCTGGGCTGCATGGCCATGTTCCAGAAGCATTCTCTCCTGATGTTTCAGCCACATCTATGGCAGGCATCCTCAGAGGTTTTGAGGTCATTTGGTAACTAGGCAAGTGAGGTTTAGATATCTGTGGAATAATGCCCAGGGTGGGAGAAAGAACTCTTGTCTGTTGGAGGCAAGTTGCAATTGGCCAGCTTGATTAGCATTCAAATCCGCTGCTTCCTGCCCCGGGGGGGGGGGGGGGGGGGGGGGGATCCTTTTTTGGGAGTTGTTAGCTGGCCCTGATTGATTCCTGTCTGAAATTTCCATTTTCTGAGTGTTGCTCTTTATTTACTATCCTTGTTTTAGAGATTTTCAATACTGGTAGCCAGATTTTGTTCATTTTCATGGTGTCCTCCTTTCTGTTGAAACTCACCATGTGCTTGTGGATTTCAATAGCTTCTCTGACATGGTGGTTGTCGGAGTGGTGTAGAATTTCTGTGTTCTCAAACAATATGCTGTGTCCAGGTTGGTTCATCAAGTGCTCCGATATGTTTGACTTCTAAGGCTGAGTTAGTCTGCAATGCCTTTCATGTTCCTTGATATGTGTTTGGGGGTCCCGATATAGAGTTGTCTACAGCTGCATGGTAGGCTTCTTGAAGGTGCAAGGGTTCACACTTCACATTCACACTTGCCTCCAACAGACAAAGAGTTCTTTCTCCCACCCTGGACATCATTCCAGATATATAAACCCCACTTGCACAGTTTCCAACAGATCTCACAACCTCTGAGGATGTCTGCCATAGATGTAGGCGAAACATCAGGAGAGAATGCTTGTGGAACTTGGTAATTCAGCCCGGAAAACTCACAATAACCCAGTGCCTTTAATTCATTGCTTTTGACCTATCCAAGTTAATGTATCCAATGAGAGGGAGGCTGCTAGCAAGACACAGCTCTATCAAGTCTTATGTAATATATCTATATAAATAAAAATGTAATGTTCTTTTGTGGGATTAACAGAACTCAAAAACCACTGGACAGACACCAAATTTGGACACAAGACACCTAACAACCCAATGTATGTTCCTCACTCAAAAAAATGATTTTGTCATTTGGGAGTTGTAGTTGCTGGGATTTATAGTTCATCTACAATCAAAGAGCATTCTGAACCCCACCAACTATGGAATTGAACCGAACTTGGCACACAGAACTCCCATGACCAACAGAAAATACTGGAAGGGTTTGGTGGGCAGTGTCCTTTGGTTTTGGAGTTGTAGTTCACCTACATCCAGAGATCACTGTGGACTCAAACAATGATGGATCTGGACCAAACTCTACACAAATACTCAATATGCCCAAATGTGAATACTGGTGGAGTTTGAGGAAAATAGAATCTTGACATTTGGGAGTTATTGTTGCTGGGATTTAGAGTTCACCTACAATCACAGAGCACTCTGAACCCCACCAACGATAGAATTGGGCCAAACCTCCCACATGGAACCCCCATGTGGGCCCCAGCAACGCGTGGCAGGGGATGGCTAGTATGTAATTGTTATTGATCTTATGTACATTGCAAGGCTGAAGGCAAATTACAATTTTGGACGTCCCTCTGAGCGCCTTTTTAACAGGGAGCGGGGTAAAAATTATCTAAATCATAAAAAATAGCCAAAATAAAACAGCAAATTTGAGAAATGCTAATCCAAGGGATATACTTACACCTCTGTTACCAGGTTGGCCCCAGTACTGCTGCTGCTGTTGTTGCTGCTGATGCTGCTGGCCCTGCCCATAAGCACGATGATTGTACCCTCGGCGTTGTCCACCAACTGAAGAAAACACAAAGGGGAGAGGGTCAAATGGTAGTTTAAGCTAAGATCAAGAACTGTTGTTGCAGCCATCACTTCCTTGAGGAGCAGCAGCAGATCTTTATAGCATGGAAGAAACTAGGGAACACAATGGAGGGAAACACTGAGCTGCATTATCTTTTCTACCAATTTCCAAAAGTATAAGAGAGCATTTGCCATGTATGAAACACTTTAGGATCAGCAACAGCTCCTCAGCCCCACATACCCTTCCTAATTCTACCATTGAGGGTGAGGTGGGGGAAAAACTCCCCCCACGGGCAAGGGAGAATGTGGACAAACGGATGCCAAGAGTGTCCACTCAACCATTTGCTCAATTCCAAACACAAGCCCTTCTCCATTCCACCCCATCCTCTACCCCAAAGCAACGATCCCACCTTCCCCCCATGCTCCGCCCCACCTTCCCATAGAGTATTGTGCTACTCACACAGCAGCCCGGGTGGGTGCTGCATACTTGGATGCCTGGGCTGAGCTGCCAAAAAGAAAAACAAAAATTGCTCTCAGTGAGAATTCAGACTGTAAAGTGACTACGACTAAATCGGCCTGCTCTGGAGGAAAGGGCTCCAGAGTGAGGGTAAAGGAAGCCAGAAGATAGGCTAAGCAGCAGAACAGCACCTAACACAGCATACAGTACAGTCAACATTACATTCAAAGGGGGGGGGGGGAGAGGAAAGAGAAAGATGCTATAAAGTGGAGCCAAGAAAAATATTACATATCAGGGTTAACATCCAAGATAGTTCATTCTTAAACTGGACTCATGAGATTAGGGAAGGCACAGTATATACTTGAGTCTAAGTTGAGTCTAAGTTGAAATTTTCAGAAAAAGGCCCCCTTGGCTTATATTCGAGTCAAAGTTATTTATTATTTTACTCTATTATTATTATTATTATTATTATTATTATTTTATTACAGTTAATATTTTACTCTATTATTGTTATCATCATCATCATCATCATCATCATCATCATCATCATCATCGTTATTAGAAACACAATGAGATGAGTCCACAGCAAACAAGATCACTCTGCTGCCTGTTGTATTGGATCACATGTTGGACACTTCCCAAGTGTCTAGGACTGTGTAATGTATCGGCGAATAATGCAGCTGGCAGATGGTAATTTTGTCAACACCGATTGTGTTTAAGTGCAGGCCAAGGTCTTTAGGCACTGCACCCAACGTCCTTGCAGATGGCCAATTCTCTCACACCAGAAGCGACTTGAAGTTTCTCAAGTCGCTCCTGACACGACAAAAAACTAAAAAAAAAAAAAACAAACTGCACCCAGTGTGCCCATCACCATTGGGACCACCTTGACTGGCTTGTGCCAGTCTTTGCAGTTCGATCTTCAAGTCCTCGTATTGTGTCAGCTTTTCCAGTTGTTTCTTTTCAAGCATCTGGGTTTGAGTGTGTCCACCTGAAGGTGGGGAACCGTGACAGTGTGGGGTTTCTGCTGGTGTACTGCCCACCCCATGACCCAGCAGTTTCCCTGCCTGAGCTAGCAGAGGTGGTCTCCAATGAGGCCTTGGTTTCCCAGCACCTGGTTGTGCTGGGAGACTTTAACAGTCATGCTCCTTGACCGGTGCAGCTCAGGACTTCATGGCCACCATGACGACCATGGGGCTATCACAAATTATATCAGGACCCACCCATCAGACTGGACACACACTCGACCTAGTTTTTGTGGCGGACAGTGGAATGATCAGAGTGGAAGAACAAAACACCCTTCCTGTCATGGTCTGATCACTATCTGATCGGTTTTAGACTCTCTGTGACCCTTAACCTCCACAGGGATGGAGGACAAATTAAGATGGTCCGCCCCAGGAGACTGATGGATCTGGAGGGATTCCTGAGAATCTTGGGGTTCTCCCTGCCATGGAACCTGGCGATTCTGTTGACGCCTTGGTTGATCTCTGTAACAGGGAGATGACCAGGGTGATAGATACGATCACTCCCAAACGCCCCATCACGTTGTGTCATGACATACCGTCTCCCTGGTTCACCGAGGAGTTGGCTGTGATGAAGCACACGAGAAGGGAGCTTGAGCACATTTGGAGGAGGTCTCGGGACGTGTCTGACCAAGCACAGGCTACTGCCTCTCTTAGGGCGTATACCGTGGCTATACAGGTAGCCAAGGAGTCTTTCACGACTGCCCATATAGCGTCTACAGCAAATAGATCATCGGAGTTGTTTCGGGTCATCGGAGAACTCCTTCAGCCACCTGTGGTGGAGGAGACCTTCGATGACCCAGCAACTCGGTGTTGCGAGTTCGCACATCACTTTGCAGGCAAAGTTGCTCAGATACGCCTTGAGCTGGACTCCAATTTCATCACAGTGCCAGGGGAGGTGATTGAGGCATCTGCTTGTCCAATTTTGTGGGATTCTTTTAGGCTTATTCTTCCTGAGACCGTGGAAGAGGTCCTTGGGGCTGTGAGGGCGACCACGTCGGCTCTACACCCTTGCCCGTCTTGGCTAATTAAATCAGCCAGGGAGGGGTTGGTTGATTGGTTTGTGTTGATCATTAATGCATCGTTGGAGCAGGGTTTTTTCCATCTCGACTGAAACAAGCTGTGGTTCGTCCACTCCTTGACTCGACGGTGCTGAACAACTTCAGACCAATCTCCAACCTCCCTTTTTTGGGTAAGGTGCTGGAGCGGGTGGTGGCCTCCCAGCTCCAGGGCTTTCTAGATGACATCAACTACCTAGATCAGTCACAGTCTGGTTTCAGGCCTGGTCACGGCACTATTTATTTATTTATTTATCGTGTCATCCGCAACCAGAACATTGTATTACATTTCTAACAGAACAAAACAAACAAACAGATAAAAAAAACAAAAAAAAAACACACAAATTTCTCAGCGGCTTTCGATACCATCGATCAGGTTATCCTTCTGGGTCGACTCTCTGGGATGGGTTTCGGGGGCACGGTTCTGTCGTGGCTCCGTTCCTTCCTGCAGGGTCGTTCCCAGATGGTGAAGCTGGGAGATGCCTGCTCGGACCCCTGGCCTTTGACCTGTGGGGTCCCGCAAGGCTCTACCTTGTTTCCCATGCTTTTTAACATCTACATGAAACTGCTGGGAGAGGTCATCCGGAGTTTTGGAGTTAGGTGCCACCTCTATGCAGATGACACACAACTCTACTACTCATTTCCACCCAACTCCAAGGAGGCCTCTCGGGTGCTGGACGAGTGTCTAGCCGCTGTGTCTATCTGGATGAGGAGGAACAAGCTGAAGATCAATCCCGACAAGACAGAGGTCCTCCTGGTCAATCGCAAACCGGATCGGGGTATAGGGTGGCAACCTGTGTTGGGACGGGGTTACAGTCCCCCTGAAGCCACAGGTCCGCAGTTTGGGAGTCCTCTTGGATTCATCGCTTACGCTTGAGGCTCAGGTGTCAGCGGTGTCCGGGAGGGCTTTTGCACAACTGAGACTTGTGCGCCATCTGCGAGCGTACCTCGCAAAGGCTGATCTGGCTGGGGTGATCCATGCCTTGGTCACATCTAGATTGGACTACTGTAATGCGCTCTACGTGGGCTGCCCTTGAAAACGGCTCGGAAATTTCAACTGGTCCAACGGGCGGCGGCCAGGATGTTAACTGGTGCTCCTTACAGAGAGAGGTCAACCCTCCTGTTCAAGGAGCTCCATTGGCTACCGTTTATTTTCCGAGCCCAATTTAAGGTGCAGGTGCTTACCTACAAAGCCCTAAACGGTTTGGGACCATCCTACCTGCGTGACTGCATCTCCGTCTACGAACCCATGAGCTCACTTTGTTCATCCGGAGAGGACCTGCTCGCGATTCCGCCTACGTCACAGGCGCGTCTGGTGGGGACGCGAGACAGGGCCTTTTCTGTGGTGGCCCCTCGACTCTGGAACACCCTCCCCAAAGATCTTAGACAGGCCCCTACATTGGCAGTCTTTAGGAAGAACTTCAAGACCTGGCTGTTCCGATGTGCCTTTCCAGAATAGGAAAACTCCAACAACAAGTCCCAGAAACACTTTAGTAGAAATTAAGATTGCTGGCACACTGCACTTACCCTATAATCCTACATATCACCTGTCACATCAGCACTTTTAATCTATACCCATTACTCTGGCCCGGGCCAATTTTATTGTGTCTTGGTGTATTGTTTTTATTGCTTATTATTTTTGTTTTAATATTGCTTGTTGTTTTAATATTGCTTTAAATTGTTTTAATTGTTGTTTTAATATTGCTTGTTATTTTAATATTGCTTTAACTGTTTTTTATTTGCTTTAGGTTGTGTATTGTTATGCTATGTTTTGAGGCCTTGGCCTTTGTAAGCCGCAGGGGTCCGAGCAGGCATCTCCCAGCTTCACCATCTGGGAACGACCCTGCAGGAAGGAACGGAGCCACGACAGGAGATGCTAGTGGGGTACAAATGAAGTTAATAATAATAATAATAATAATAATCTTGCAGTCGCCTGGGATTCCAACATCGACGATCCATACTTTGTTTTTTAACATGATGGTGAAGTTAGGAGTATTTTGCTCCAAAACTCTGTCAGTCTGAATTCAGAAGTCCCAGAGGAGTTTGACGTGTTCATTTTCTGTAACTTTTTCAGGCTTGTGATTCCACCAGTTCTTTGTCGCAGGCAGATGGGATTTGTTGCACAAGTTCCAATGAATCATCTGAGCAATGATGTTATGCTTTTGCTTGTAGTCTGTCTCTGCAATCTTCTTGCAGCATTATTATTACTACTACTACAACAACTACTACTACATTTGGTACATTTACTCTATTATTATTATACATTTATTAATTTACTCTATTTATTATGATTACATTTGTCTTTTTATCTATTATTACATTCATTATTTTACTCGATTATTTTTTTAACATTTATTATTTTACTCTATTTTTATTATTACTTTTCCATTATTTTACTCTATTATTATTATTATTATTTTATTCTATTATCATATTTGGTACATTTTTTACTCTATTATCCTTATTTTATTATATTTATTATTTTATTCTATTATTATTACATTTATTATTTTACTCTATTTTTAATATTACTTTTCCATTATTTTACTTTATTAATATTATTATTATTATTATTATATTTTATTCTATTATCATATTTGGTACATTTTTACTCTATTATTACTATTACACTTATTATTTTACTCTATTATTATTACATTTATTATTTTACTCTATTTTTAATATTACTTTTCCATTATTTTACTCTATTATTATTATTACATTTATTATTTTACTCTCATATTATTGGAAGGATACATCAGCACATGTACACTGAAGAAGGCTAGAGTTGGACAGTCTTACCTTAAATTACAGTTTTATGTAAATATTAAAAACATTTAACTATTGATGCTTTTAACTATTTAACTATTAATGTAATTTTATTGGTATCTATTTTTATTTTGAAATTTACCAGTAGCTGCTGCATTTCCCACCCTCAGCTTATACTCGAATCAATACATTTTCTCAGTTTTTGTGGTAAAATTAGGTGCCTCAGCTTATATTCGGGTCGTCTTATACTCGATTATATGCGGTAAATGCTGGCAAGCAGACCCTGAAAGATTTAACTTATCTAGACTATAACTCTCAGAATTTTCCAGCCAGCATGTCATTGATGAACTGCAATCCAAAAACATTTTTCCAAGGTCAGATTATGAATTTGAGCAAGAGGGGTCCCATGTGGTCCACAGAATTTGAGGACCTCCAGGAAACAGAATCATTAAAGCTTCATGAGCTCAAACTTGAGCAAAGCCAAGTCTTCCAAACCCTCCTTTAAGTGTGTACAATTCAGAATACATTTAAACCCATGATTGCAAGGAGAATTAAGTGTAATCAGGAATACGACAGTCATCTGGGCAAGAAGAATGCAAGTGCTTCTCTTGGAAGATCCCAATTTTCCTTGGGGTAGGCCACAGGCAGCCTCAACAACAGATAAGAATGTATGTTTCAGGATATTCCCTCTTTACATAGCAGCCTGGGCCCCCTTACCATATCCCTGGCCTCGGTTGCGATTCTGGCGGTTGCGTTTGTTGCGATTGTTGCGCCGGTTTGTCCGCTTCTCTGAAGGAGGAAGTAATTTCCTGGCCTCCTCCTTATATTTTGTGACAAGAGGCTGAGCTTCTTCCTTGGCGAGTTCTGGGAACAGAACTTCGTCTACATAATCACATTTATCCGGAATAGAGAAGTTGGCTGGAATCAGATGGAAACGGGAGGGAGAGAGAGCGCATGGGTATTAGACGTTGTCATTGCGACCCAATATCATCACCCACCCGCCACCACTTTTGTCCCATGTTTTCTCAGGTTGTTTGTGGAGCCCACCTTTCATTTCCAGCATCACTGTCTCAGGAACGTCTTCCCCTTCAGCTTCCTCCCGCTGCTCCAATCTCTCCTCCCAGTTCTCTTCACTAGGGACCAGCACTATCACCTTGCGGATGAACCCCTTGAAGGGGTGCAGCTTCCGCCGCTGACCAGAGTTATACACATTACACTGAAATGCAGAAATAAATGATTTAAAAGACCTTAAAAACACCCTGTTGCAAAGACAGAAAGAAACTATTTAGAAGCACGCATAAATGCAGTAAAACAGCCTTTCCTAACCTGGGACCTTGAATTTTATACAGGAGTCTCACTTATCCAACATAAATGGGCCGGCAGAATGTTGGATAAGCAAAAATGTTGGATAATAAGGAGGGATTAAGGAAAAGCCTATTAAACGTCAAGTTACATTAAGGTTTTACAAATTAAGCACCGAAACATCATGCTTTAAATCCAAAACACCTGGAAGACCAGAGTTGGGAACACAGATATAAACATCTCTAGAATCCCATAATTTATTTATTTATTTATCGTGTCAGGAGAAGATCAAACAGTTGTACTGCATTTTTTAAAAACAAACAAACAAAACACAAAGTTTGCAAGCTTGGTAGTTGATTAAATGTCCTTTGACCAGTAGCTGGCCACTTGGAGTGCCTCTGGTGTTGCTACAAGAAGGTCCTCCATTGTGCATGTGGCAGGGCTCAGGTTGCATTGCAGCACTTCACTTCTTCACTTCACTTCTTAATTAGTCGCTCTCCACCAAGGTGCTCCGAGCGACTTACAATTTAAAATAGCATTTACACAATATAAAAACATTCAACATAAAAACATACAACAGTGACTATTTGGCAGCAGGTGGTCTGTGGTTTGCTCCTCTCCACACTCGCATGTCGTGGATTCCACTTTGTAGCCCCATTTATTAAGATTAGCTCTGCATCTCATGGTGCCAGAGCGCAGTCTGTTCAGTGCCTTCCAAGTTGCCCAGTTTTCTGTGTGTCCAGGAGGGAGTCTCTCATCTGGTATGAGCCATTGATTGAGGTTCTGGGTTTGAGCCTGCCACTTTTGGACTCTCGCTTCCTGAGGTGTTCCAGCGAGTGTCTCTGTAGATCTTAGAAAACTATTTCTTCATTTAAGTCATTGAAGTGCTGGCTGATACCCAAACAAGGGATGAGCTGGAGATGTCATTGCCTTGGTCCTTTCACTATTGGCTGCAACTTCCCTGCTGTCAGGTGGTGCAATACTGGCTAAACAGTGTAATTTATCCAGTGGTGTAGGGCGCAGACACCCCGTGATAATGTGGCATGTCTCATTAAGAGCCACATTTACTGTTTTGGTGTGGTGAGATGTGTTTCCCCATTGGGCATGCGTACTCAACAGTAAAGTAGCATAGCGCAAGGGCAGATGTCTTCACTGTGTCTGGTTGTGATCCCCAGGTTGTGCCAGTCAGCTTTCGTATGATATTATTACTAGCACCCACTTTTTGCTTGATATTCAGGCTGTACTTCTTGTAGGTCAGGGCATGGTCCAGAGTGACTCCCAGGTATTTGGGTGTGCTGCAATGCTCGGAGGAATGGAATCACTGGAAAACCATAGTTTGCTAAACAGTGATATTGGTCAACTGTCTCCAGACTCTCATCTGGAGCTGGGTGGCCCTCCGTTGGGAATGCTTGGCTTGTGCCTTCCAGCCTAGAAGAATGGGGATGGACTGCATACCCTCTTAAGGGAAGAGGTCTCTTGTGTTTCTAGGATTCCATGCCTCTAATTATTCTTGCTTGGGTTAGAAGAGAAGGAGAAGGCCAGAAGTGCAAGGTGATGGAAAGCTGTCAGTCGTAAAAGAGAGAGGAGGAAGAGAGTGTGCGTGGGGGAGAAAAAGGAAGGGAGAAGAGAGAGGGAGGATCTGGAACAAAGTGTGTGTGCGTGTGCAGGAAGAAAGGGGGGTTCCTCCGCCCACCCAGCCAGGTAAGGAGAGAAGCCTTCTCTCCCCCCTTTTCTTCTTTCCAGCCATGAGCCCCCCCCCCCCCCCGGATTTGGAAACAAGTCTGGGTTGGAGAGAAGTCTAGCCGTTTTGAGTCCCTCTGCAGAGGTTGAGAAAGGATGGGTTATAAAAGCCCCAAATCTATATAAATAAAAATGTAATGTTCATTTGTGGGATTAACAGAACTCAAAAACCACTGGGGGAATTGATTTGGACACAATACACTTATCAGGCCAATATATATCCTTCACTCAAACAAACAACAAAACAAAAAGCAGAAAGGACTTCTAAACTGCATGTCCCACAAAGGAGAAACTGCATGCCCACAAAGAGACCCATGACCACGCCACCTCCTCCTCACGGGGAAACTGCCGGCCATTAAAGCATTAGGCTTTAGAAGTGAGGAAGAAGAGGAGGATGGTGGAGGGGCTCCTCAAGTTCCTCCCTCGCCAGCAGAAGCAGCACCCTTTTTCCTCTTGGCTGCCCCCCCTCTCTTTCGTCGCCTCCTCTTCCTCCAAGATACCCCAGTGGAAGCAGCAGGCAGGAGGGAGGGAGGAGGGGAAAGAGACTGTTCCCTTCTTTGCCAACTCTTTCTTTCCTCCCTCCCTTCACTGCAGGAGGGAGGAAACAAAGAGGCAGAAACAAGTTTATTTTGAATTCTCCCATTCCTCTGCGTCCTGCTCCCTTCCTCCTCCTCCAACTCCTTCTTTCTTTCCTCCCCCTTCTTCTCTCTTATTTCTGTAGATCCTTCTGCTTTAATTTTCACACATTTAACTCTCTCTCTCTCTTATTAACATCCAGACTGAGAGATAGCTGCCTCTGCCACACTCCACTCCTTCTCTCCCTCACTCCCTTCCCTTTTTTCCTCCTCCTCCCTTTCTTTCCTTTTCTTCCTCCCCCTTTCTGTCCCTCCTTCCTTCTCCTTCCTTTTCCTTCCCTCCTTTTTCATTCCTTCCTGTCCCTCCTTCTTTCCTTTCCTTCCTTCCCTTCTTTCCCTCCTCCCCTCCCTTTTTTCCTTCCTTCTTCCTTTCCTTCTTTCTATGTAAGATATAAACACAATATTTTATACATTGTTATATAGATTACTATATAATATGTTACTATTATATATTACTATATAATACAAATTAAATAGACTTACAGAACTGAGTTGAAAGGGAAAGTCATGAAGTAAAGAGAGAAGGAGGGAAAGAGGGAAGAAATGAAGGAGGGAAAGGGAGAAGGAGGGAGGGAAAGAAGGAATGAAAGAAAGAAAGGTAGAGAAGCAAGGAAGGAGAGAAGGAAATAAAAAAGTGAAAGGAAAAAGACAGGGAGGGAAGGAAGGAAGGATGTAACCAAAGAGCAAAAATAGGGAGAAAAGAAACAGGTAGAGATGGAAGAAAGAAGAAGATAAATAGGAAGGGAAAGAAAAAGAGGAAAGGACGGAGAGAAAAAGGGAGGGAAGGTTGGCCACAGCAACGCGTGGAGGGTACAGCTAGTAAATAAGTCTCCAAAGCGAGGCTCTGCCAGCGCCAAGAGCAGGGAGAGTGGCATCACATTTCCTTTTTCCCTCCTCTCCCCCCTTTTTTCCCACCTATTCCTCTTTCTCTTTTGATTCACCCCTCTTCTCTCCCTTCCCTTTGGAAATGCGCTTTCCTCCTCCTTCTCTTCCCAGTTTTTGCAACAGGAAAGAAAGCCGTACCTTGTCGTAAGTCAGTCCAAGTCAAGTCCAAGTCAATATCCAACAATCAACGAAGGTTCACTAGTTGATAGCCTACTTGATGGCGGAAAAAAGAGGACTGATGGCTGGCCCCTCCCAGGGGTCTTATATACTCGAGAGGAGATGGGGCAGGGCCAGGAGGGGGATACAATCACTTTAAGCTTCTAGAAGGTTCCGAAGTTGGGCCTGCGCAGGCACAGGAATACCACAATGTGCAGTTCACAGTTGACTACGACAGGAAAGCCACCCCTCTCATGAGCACATATCAAAGGGTGCAATGTTTCCAATTGGCCACCTGATGTAATTGGATAATACAGAGTGTTGGATGAGAGGAGCTCAGACAACCGGGGCTCTACTGTACATGTAAACTCCTAGTCCTGGCCACTGGTGGCACAGCGAGTTACACCACTGAGCTGAACTTGCTAACCAAAAGGTCGGCGGTTCAAATTCAGGGAGTGGACTGAGCTCCTGCTGTTAGTCCCGGCTTCTGCCATACTCAAAATCATCATCTTTATTTGTACCCAGCCACCATCTCCCCAAAGGGACTCAGGACGGCCCACAGAAGTACTCCAAGTGCCACATGCAGACAACAATACATGAGTATAAATACAATTACATAAGTATCATCAACAGCACATAAAAATCTCATTAATAAAATGATAAAAAAATCAAAATGATAAAAGCTTGAAGTTTGCAAACACGCAAATGCGAGGACATCAATAGGTCCCGCTCCGGAGGGAAGGTAACGGTGCTTCATGAAGTCATGCTGGCCACATGACCTTGGAGGCGTCTATGGAAAACACGGGCTCTTCGGCTTGGAAATGGAGATGAGCCCCCCCCCCCCCCCCAGAGTCAGACACAACTAGACTTAATGTCAAGGGGAAACATTTACCTTTACTAAACCCTTAGTCACTATGGCTAACAGTCACAATGACTAGGATTTTTAGTTGCGATTGCAAATTTCTCACTTCCTCAACCTCAAACTATTATTTTTTTATTTAAAAAACAGTAATACCTGATCGAGAATGAAGTTCCTCTTTGCCTTGGGAGCAATCTGGATAAGCTTGCTAACACAACGGGCAGCTTGCTGAAACAGCTGATCTCGAGTTGCTCTGTCAGGTGTTTCTTCAGGTTGAGTTCCCTTTGTCTAACAAGAAAAAGAAAACAATGCAAAACTGATCAAAAAGTATCTTTAAGAGTAATTGGGGGATCAAAATATAACTTCAAGTATTTATTTATTTATCTTGTCAGAAGCAAATTGAGGGTTTTTTTGTTTTGTTTTTGTCGTGTCAGGAGCGACTTGAGAAACTGCAACTGCAGTTGGTGAAGCTGGTGCACACCTGCTCAAACCCCTGGCCTTTGATCTGTGGGGTCCCACAAGGTTCCATTTTTCCCCATGCTTTTCAACATATACATGAAACCGCTGGGCAAGATCATCCAGAGTTTTGGAGTTCAGTGCCATCTCTATGCAGATGACGTCCAATTCTACTACTCTTTTCCACCTTACTCCAAGGAAGCCCCTCAGATACTACACCAGTGTCTGGCTGCTGTGATGGTCTAGAAGAAGGTGAACAAGTTGAAGATTAATCCTGACAAGACAGAGATCCTCCAGGTCAATCACAGGCCGGACCGGGGTATAGGGTGGCAACCTGTGCTCGACAGTGTTGCACTCCCCCTGCAGACACAGGTCTGCAGCTTGGGGATCCTCCTACTCAGCGCTAACGCTTGATGCTCAGGTGTCGGTGGTGGCTGGGAAGGCCTTTGCACAACTAAAGCTTGTGCGCCAGCTGCGACCATACCACGTGAAGTCTGACTTGGCAATGGTGGTCCACGCCTTAGTTACCTCTTGGTTGGACTATTGCAATACACTCTCCTTGGGGCTGCCCTTGAAGACAGCCCAGAAATTTCAATTGATCCAACGTTCGGCAGCCAGACTGCTAACCAGAGTGAATTACAGGGAGCAGTCTACCCCTCCTGTTTAAGGAGCTCCATTGGCTGCTGTTTATTTTCCGGTCCCAATTCAATGTGCAGGTTATCACCTACAAAGCCCTGAACGGTTTGGGACCCGCCTACCTTCATGACCGCATTTCCTTCTACGAACCTACACAATCCCTTCGATCTTCCAGAGAGGCCCTTCTCTGACTCCCGCCCCCGTCGCAAGCGCGACTTGTGAGAACGAGGAAGAGGGCCTTCTCTGTGGTGGTCCCTCGGTCCCTGTGGTGGTCCCTCAGCTCTGGAACTCGCTTCCTGGAGAGATTAGGCAAGCGCCCACCCTGGCAGTCTTCAGGAAGAGCCTAAAAACCTGGATGTTTCAGAGTGGTTTCGATGAACAATCCCTTACCTTGACCAAACCCTGCATAAAATGTCCTTTGATGCACTTTATCTCACCCTTTAGTGAAATTAGACCCCATTGCTTGTCCCACCTGAACCTCCTTCCAGATACACTACACTAATTATCTCACCTAGGGTTTTTTAAAAAAAGTCTTTGCAATCAGCCCTGCCCACCTTGATCAATTATTCTGTTTTTATATTGCATCTTGTGTTTATTTTGTATTGTTCTTTTATTATTTTCATTATATTTTAATGCTGTATCATTTTATGTTGTATATTTGCTTTGTTGTAACTGTTGGGCTTGGCCTTGTGTTAGCTGCCCCAAGTCCCCTTGGGGAGATGGTGGCGGGGTATAAATAAATAATAATAATAATTATTATTATTATTATTATTATTGCGATCTCTGGTTTTTTTACCTTCATTTTGTAGAGAACTGTGTCTGTCCCCAAGATGTTGACGCGCTTATCTGGATTCTCCTGGGTGTATTTACGTGCCCAATGGGTTTTCCCACATCCTGGCAACCCAACCATAAGCATGACCTGGAATCGGACAAAGAGAGAAAAATTAGTAAACCAGTCACATTAGAAAAGGTAGTGCTTGCTGAACAGAAAGTGCATTCAAATCCGTAGAATCATAAAAGTACAGTATTCACAAAACATGGATTATACCTGGAAGACCTGACTTCTAGGACTGCTGCTTTACAAACCCATTAAGTAGGAGCCCCCAGTGGCACAATAAGTTGAACCCTTGTGCTGGCAGAACTGCTGTCAGCTCTAGCTTCTCATGCGGGGACATGAGAGAAGCCTCCCACAGGATAGTAAAACATTTGTGCGTCCCCTGGGCAACGTCCTTACAGACAACCAATTCTCTCACACCAGAAGCGACTTGCAGTTTCTCAAGTCAATCGTGATGCACACAAAAAAACCCATAAAGTGCTCAATTTGCTCTCTGTTCATCTTCTTCCTTTAATTCGGTGACTCTCTCTTCAGGAAAAACAATGGTGTCTAAAATTACCTTAATGCAGGCATAGGGTTGTCCACTAAGGACAATGTTTGTAGGTGCATTACGATCTTGTAACATCCCATCTGTATTTTTTACTGTAACCCATCAATGTTTTCATCTTTAATGGAGTTTCCTATTTTATATCTTGTGTTTAGTCTTTTACATTTTTTTAATGGTGGTCTTTCTACGTTCTTTCTTTCGTTCTTTAGAGCTGATGCCATCTTTATTCACTGGTTCACTATTATTTTCTGTTTTGAAATGCACTATGTAATAATCATGTGCATTTGGGACTTCCCTTGATCCATTTTGTGTCTCGGCTTTCAATGGGGGCCCCAATCCATTGTTGTTTGAGTCTCCCAAAATCAGGAGGTTAGATATTTGTTTTTAGTTTTCATTATTGGGGGGAGGGGGCAGACTTCACATGTAGGTCTAAAGTGACCGGGCCCCTATGGATGCAGGATCTGGGCCTAGGCACCCGGGTCTTGCAGGACCTGCAGGCGAGCGCCAAGTAAGGAACACTCCTTATTTGTCATGCAGCTGGAAGCCCTGCAAGGCCCAAATTCTGCATTCGTAGGCTTTGGATCTATGCCCCTGGGCCTGGCAGGGCCTCCAGTCGAGCGCCAAGTAAGAAGCGCCCAGGCCTGGGCAGGTAGGCCCAAAGCGCTGGAGTGCCTGCAGCCGAGCACTAGATAAACAGAGCTCCTTACTCGGCACTCAGCTGCAGGCTCTGTGAGGCCCAAGTGCATAGGCCCAAAGCCTGCACCCGTACGCCACGGCACTTTGGAACTATGGGTACAGGCTTTGGGACTACGTGCCTGGGCCTCACAGGGCCTGCAGTCGAGCACCAAGTAAGCATCACTCCTTACTCAGTGCTCAACTGCAGGCCCTGCCAGGCCCCACGTAATCATCCAAAAAGGAGGTGTGCTTGCCCTTCATATCGATCGCAGTTTTGTTTCAAGAGGGGCCTTTCCGTTTTGTGCCATCCAAATGGACAAAACAAAACAAAACACGAATGAAACGAACGGGACAAATTTCGAGCCCATGACTACTACGTAATGCATTTTGCAAACAAATTCTTAAATCTAACCTCCAAGAAACACTGTCTTTTGTTTACATCTACATCTAAGAAAAACATCATATGTGCTGCCAATTTATAAACCCTTAACACTTTTTTCTATTTCCTTGTCAATGTTTGAGTCTTACAACAGCCCTACGACAACCCAAGAAGGAATGCTTGTGTTACCTCACACTCTCCTGTAGTTTTGGGAGGCAGGGGAGTGCGCACCCGGTCCTCAACAGGGACAGCATGAATGAAGATGTAGTCCTCCGGAACTGGAAAGAACGGCTCTTCTTTTTGGCCAAAATTCAGCTCCACCACACAGTTTTTGCACAGCACGTGTGGCAGCAAAACCCGGTCTCCAAGCACTTCCTTACTGATGCAGAAGGCAACACCCAGGTCCTCCCCATTTTTGGAGAAAGACAGTTCGACATCGCTACTTTCAAACTTCTGCAATGCAGGACATAGAAGCATGAGGTGAGGTATATTTCTTATCACATGCACAAGTAGTTCCAAGAAAACAAAGGAGCGAAAGGCAAAACTAACTTTTGGTTGCCCTACATAGCAACACAACCAATTCGAAGACACTTTAAGAATATTAAGAGGCATTAGGACACACCAGGAAACATTAAAATAAAGTTACCCCACTAGAGAGAATGTTTTAAGAGATGGAGCTAGAATGAACATTGTATTAATGGCTATGCCCTAATTGTACAAAGTTCAGCCTACTCTGAAAACACCAAAGAAGCTCCTCAAGAACAGACTCCTGCATTGTACTTACGGCAAAGCAACCTATCACATCATTCTCTCCAAAAGTTTGACCAAATTCTTCGAACTGCCCATTTTCAGCCTTCAACCCCCGTCCGTCGTAGCCATAAGAATACTCATCCTCACCTAGAAGACAGCAACATGGTTGTGTTACAGGGCACTGGATCCGCAGATAGCATCACCTTAACTATAGTGTAAATCTGCCCAGAAGGAAGGGAAATTTCTTTACCTAGCTGCGAACAAGAGAAATCCACAGACCACCCAACGCGAAGCAGTTGATGCTCTGTGGAACCTTCCTTCAGTGGGAGGTTTTGTGCCACCTGAGAAAAGAAGGGCAAATAGCCATTGTGGATATGTCTTAAAGCAGATCTGGAAAAGATACCGTATATACTCGAGTATAAGCCGAGGCATCTAATTTTACCACAAAAAACCCTGGGAAAACGTATTTACTCGAGTATAAGCCTAGTGTGGGAAATGCAGCAGCAACTGGTAAATTTCAAAATAAAAATAGATACTAATAAAATTACATTAATTGAGGCACAAGTCGATTAAATGCTTTTGAACATGTACTGTATTTCAAAGAAAAACAGTAAACTAGCTCTGTAAGTGGAAAAGGAGGGTCCATAAAAATAATATGGTATCAATAATAATAATAATAATAATAGAACTTCATTTGTATCCCACCCTATCTCCCCATGGGGACACTCAGGCCGGCTTCCAACATAGTAACAGGCAAACATTTAATATCTGTATAAACAATGCAGAGCGAGATAGAGATCTATAATTATGTATATTAATTTCACACGTAAATTTCCCCCAGAAATGTTTGCAAATCCTCTCTCTATATTTATGTGCATTCCCCACCTGCAATATTTGCAAGCCCTATATATCTATGTTTATATCTATCTAAACATCTCTGTGTGTGTGTGCATTTCCCCTGCAATATTTGCAAGCCCAACATATCTATATTCATATCTATCTAGACATGTGTATTTGTGTGTGCATTTCCCTCCTGCAATATTTGCAAGCTCTATCTATCTATATCTATATCTCTCTATATATAATTATATCTATATAGGACTTGCAAACATGTGAGGGGAAAATTCATATATAAAATTATTTACACACACACACAAATATACAGATAATATATAGGTACCTCTATATATTTATCAATATCTGTATCTATATAGGATTTGCAGAGACTTGCAAAAAAGTGAGGGGAAAATTCATATAAAATAATGGATACATATACATACAGATATACAGATACATGGAAATCTCTAGATAGCTATATGTATATAGGATTTGCAAATACCTGCAAATATATTAGGGGAAACTTCCAAGATCCTCCAGGGAGGCCCTGCTTTCCATCCCGCCATTGTCACAGGCGCGATTGGTGGGGACGAGAGACAGGGCCTTCTCAGTGATTGCTCCCCGGCTATGGAACTCCCTTCCTGGTGAGATCAGGTCAGCCCCCTCCCTCCTGTCCTTTAGAAGGATGGTCAAAACTTGGCTGTGGGACCAAGCTTTCGGGACAGGGCAATGAAGCGACAATGGGAAAGATGACAGGGCCAATTGGATTTCATGCGGATGGCTAGGACCGCTTTAAATGGTGTATTTTAATATTTTGATAAAAAATTTTTTAATGTTTATGTATGTGAATCTGTGTCCCGGCATTCAATGTTTGCCGTGTATGTGCTGTGCCCTGAGTCCCCTTCGGGGTGAAAAGGGCGGAATATAAATGTTTTAAATAAATAAATAATAAATAAGAGAACTAAATTGCACATATAACATTAATACATTTAGGCATACACAAAAAAGCCAAGAACTTGGATGGGTTTGAAAGAGAGCCGTACAAACAAGGAGGACATTATATCTCCTTTCCCTCCTTTCCTCCCTTTCGATTGGAAAAGAAAACACACTGTCAAGGAAGGGGAAGAGGAGAGAGAAATATATCATATATTGCAAGCAATGGTCTCCAGGCTCCTTACAGCTAAAGGTTCCAGGAATTGTGATCAGACTTCTTTACCTTTGCCTCAAAGCAGACCTTCCCACTTTTCACTCCATGTGTACTCCTTGCCCCAGACCAAAGATTGGGAAATTTGTCATGGAACAAGGGCTGTCCTCCATAGCGATCCTTGGTGGCTCTGAAGTGGAGATCGGATGTATCTGTGCAAGAAAAGAAAGCAGGGTGCAGGTAAAGTTGTCATATTGTTTCTGTACAAAGATGAGCTGTGCAAGCAATTAACCGAGTCTCCAACTTCTACTCAGTGCTCAGATTCTGAGGATGTTATAACCTTAATAACATCTTTTGCCCTCTTGATCCCAAATTCCTGCAGAAATACACAAATCCTTCCAAAACAGGCCTTTCTATAGGATACAAAAACATGCAGATTACTGAACCTCATCTGAATGGATTTTTCAACCACATACCTTTTGAAAATATTTTAAAATTGGAACAGTTTCTGTCGCCATTACTGCCATCAAATACTGCAATTGATATTAGGCCTAAAACGCTGGGACATCCGTTGCAATCCTGTAACTTTTGTTCAGTTTCCTGTGCTTTTTTATATTGATGAGAATTAGCCTAAGGGCCTCATCACAATGAATCCACTTTAAATCCGGTTGCTGCCTCCTGAGGAATTCTGGGGTTTGTAGTTTAGGGAGTAGCCTTTAACAGCCTCACTAAACTACAAACACCAGAATTCTGCAGGAGACAGAAACCAGATTTAAAGTGGATTCATTCTCTAGTGTGATAAAGTAGTTAGTATTCCTAATCCTTTCAAAGCTGCTTCAAATTATAGCAGTGCTGACCTATTCAGAAGGGACGGGGACTGACACCACATATTAAAGACAACACGGCGTTGTCAAAGGCTTTCATGGCCAGAATCACTGGGTTGCTGTGAGTTTTCCGGACTGTATGGCCATGTCCCAGAAGCATTCTCTCCTGACGTTTCGCCCACATCTATGGCAGGCATCCTCAGAGGTTGAGAGGTCTGTTGGAAACTAGGCAAGTGGGGTTTATATATCTGTGGAATGTCCAGGGTGGGAGAAAGAACTCTTGTCTGTTGGAGGCAGGTGTTAATGTTGCAATTGGCCACTGTGATTAGCATTTAATGATCTGGTAGTTTCAAGGCCTGGCTGGAGCCCCCGGTGGCGCAGTGAGTTAAACCCCTGTGCCGGCAGGACTGAAGACCAACAGGTCGCAGGTTCGAATCGAGAGAGAGTGCGGATGAGCTCCCTCTATCAGCTCCAGCTCCTCATGCGGGGACATGAGAGAAGCCTCCTACAAGGATGATAAAAACATCAATTCATCCGGGCGTCCCCTGGGCAACGTCCTTGCAGACGGTCAATTCTCTCACACCAGAAGCGACTTGCAGTTTCTCAAGTCGCTCCTGACACGACCAAAAAAAAAAAAAAGGCCTGTCTGCGTCCTGTCTGGGGAATCCTTTGTTGGGAAGTGATTAGCTGTCTCTGATTGTTTCTTGTCTGGAATTTTCCTGTTGTTCTTTATTTACTGTTTTGATTTTAGAGTTGTTGTTTTTTTAAAAAATACTGGTAGCCAGATTTTGCTCATTTTCATGGTTTCCTCCTTTACGTTAAAATCACCTCCCAACAAAGTATTCCCCATGCAGGAAGCAGCCAGACCTTGAAACTGCAAGGCCATTTAATGCTAATCAAGGTGGCCAATTGCAACATTCACAACTGCCTCAAGCAGGCAAGAGTTCTTTCTCCTACCCTAGACATTCCACAGATATATAAACTCCACTACTCCAGTTTCCAACAGACCTCACAATATCTGAGAATGCCTGCCATAGATGCAGGTGAAATACCAGGACAAAAAGCTCACACCAACCCAAAGACAACACCACTAAAACCTCATGATCTGAATGATAATCTTATGCACACATTTGCGTCTCAATTTATGTTTGCAGATTAGTTCCCCTCCGGATATTTAGGACTAGAGCCCCTATGTACTCCAATCTTAAAGACAATGGTCAGAACATTATTGGAGCTGAAGTCCAAAACACCGGGAGTGCACTAGACAATCCACATTTAGGCTGATCAGCATAAGTAAGCAATACATACATGTGTCCAGGATCACCAGAGTCTCATCATCGTCTTCTCTAGGTTCTTCTTCTGGTGGTGGTGGAGACTTGGATCTGCATCAAGAAAAAAGAAATAAATAATCTGGTCAGGTTAAAACATACCCCCTTGAGAACTAAAAAAAGAAATTGAATAAATTATACAAAACTAGTTAGTCCACACTAGATTAATATCTAAATCAGCAGCAGGCTGATTCATGGGCTAAACAAAGTCATGTTTGGCTCTTATGCTCCCAAACAATCCCTGACCCTGACCCAGTGGTTCTCAAAATTCCTAATGCCGCGAACCCTTAATACAGTTCCTCATGTTGTAGTGACCCCCAACCGTTGCTACTTCATAACTGTAATTTTGCTACTGTTATGAATCATTGTGTAAATTTGCTTATAAAAGCTTCCTTCCTATGCTGTAAATTTTAGTTTGATTTCAAAACACTGCTCGCATGTGCCTCAACACTGGTTTGAATCTCACCGGCTATAAAACGCCTCTTCTCGGAATTCACAGTAAGCACGACCATGTTCTTCCTTTTCATCGCGTTGCCTTTTTAGCCCTTGACGTTCACCATCTGGACCAGTCTCCTTTGCTTTCTCACCCTCTTCATTTGCTGTAAAGAGGCAGATTTTGGTAAGATGGGTCTAAAATTAACGCGCACCCACACATGAACACAAGCACCATTCTGGTCTCTTCCACTTCAGAAGAGATGCTCCACTTCAGGCTGCCATCAGGTTGCTCCTCCACCAAAAGGGCTTTAGCACAGCAGGTTAATCACCAGCTGCAGTAAATCTTGCCAATCGAAAGTTGACAGTTTGGAGCCCGGGTCGGGATGAGCTCCTGGCCTTTAGCCCAGCTTCTGCCTACCTGGCAGTTTTTAAAACAGCAATGTGGGTAGATAAATAGGTACCACTTTAAAGTGGGAAGGTATTTAAGATACCCATAAGGAAATGCCAGAAAAATGTCAGTGATTCGATCAAGGTGGAAAGTTTACAAACAAAGCAGGGGAGATGGAGCGGCAGCACCCCACCATGGTCGGAATTGAGCACAGCCTCCAAGATGCTGAAGATGGGAAAACCTATATATACTTCTATCTATGTACAGTTGTCTGTCTTGTCAGTGTATAACGGCATTGAATGTTTGCCGTATATGTGTTCTGTGATCCGCTCTGAGTTCCCTTCGGGGTGAGAAGGGGAGAATATACAGTGGGGAAAAAAGTATTTAGTCTGATACCAATTGTACAAATTCTCCCGCTTAAAAAGATGAGAGAGACCTGTAATTGACATCATAGGTAGACCTCAACTATGAGAGACAACATGAGAAAACACATCCAAAAATGACAGTATCTGATTTTTAACTAATTTATTTGCAAATGATGGTTGTTTTTTGGGGGTTTTTTTTGTCGTGTCAGGAGCAACCGCTCCTGTTGTGAGAGAATTGGCCGTCTGCAAGGACGTTGCCCAGGGGACGCCTGGATGATTTTTGATGTTTTATCATCCTTGTCGGAGGCTTCTCTCATGCCCCTGCATGAGGAGCTGGAGCTAATAGAGGGAGCTCATCCACCTCTCCCTGGATTCGAACCTGTGACCTGTCGGTCTTCAGTCCTGCCGGCACAGTGCTTTAACCCACTGCGCCACCGGGGGCTGATGGTGGAAAGTAAAATATTTGGTCCATAACAAAAGTTCATTTCAATACTTTGTTATATATCCTTTATTGGCAATGACAGAGATCCAACATTGTCTGTAAGTCCTCACAAGGTTAGCACACACTGTTGCTGGTATGTTGGCCCATTCATCCATGCATATCTCCTCAAGAGCAGTGTTTTGAGGCTATTGCTGTGCAACACAGACGTTCAACTCTCCCCAAAGGTTTTCTATAGGGTTGAGATCTGGAGACTGGCCTGGCCACTCCAGGACCTCGAAATGCTTCTTACAAACCCACTCCTTTGTTGCCCTGGCAGTGTGCTTGGGATCGTTGTCATGCTGAAAGACCCAGCCACATTTCATCTTCAGTGCCCTTGCTGATGGAAAGGGGTTTGCACTCCAAATCTCACAAGACATGGCCCCAGTTATTCTTTCATGTATACGGATCTGTCGCCCTGGTCCCTTTGCAGAGAAACAGCCCCAAAGCATGATGTTGCCACCCCCATGCTTCACAGTAGGGATGGTGCTCTTTGGATGCAACTCCGCATTCTTTCTCCTCCAAACACGACAAGTTGTGTTTCTGCCAAACAGTTCTATTTTGGTTTCATCTGACATTCATATGACATTCTCCCAATACTCTTCTGGATCATCCAAACGCTCTCAAGCAACCTTCAGTCAGCCCCTTCAGTAAGCAGGGGGACACGTCTGGCACTGTAGGATCTGAATCCCTGGCGGTGGCGTAGTGTGTTACTGATGGCAGCCTTTGTTACGTTGGTCCCAACTCTCTGCAGGTCATTCAATAGGTTCCCCCATGTGGTTCTGGGATTTTTGCTCATCGTTCTTGTGATCATTTTGACCCCATGGGGTGCGCTCTTGCATGGACCCCAGATCGAGGGAGATCAGTGGTCTTGTATCTTTTCTATTGTCTAATGATTGCTCCCACAGTTGATTTCTTCACACCAAGCTGCTTGCTTATTGCAGATTCAGTCTTCCCAGTCTGGTACAGGGCGACAATTTTGTTTCTGGTGTCCTTCGACAGCTCTTTGGCCTTCACCATAGTGGAGTTTGGAGTGTGACTGCTTGAGGTTGTGGACAGGTGTCTTTTATTACTGATAATAAGTTCAAATAGGTGCCATTACTACAGGTAATTCCTCATTGATAGCTTCCGCCAGATCTCAACCTGCTCAAATTGTTCGTAACATCACAAATCCAACCCATCTGGCCAAAGATGTGGCTAGTCAAGATATTACAGCAGAGATTTTCCAGAGCCACTTCATAAATAAGATCAATCTGCTCTGCGAAGGGCTACCTCCCACAGAGGACATATTGAGGGAACTAGAAGCCTCCTGGCCATTTAGTGGCCAATTTATCGAACATTTTGTGTCATTAGAAATGGAAGACCTGGAAAAGACTCTAGCTGCAGCAAGACCAACCACCTGCTCCCTCTATCCTTGCCCCTCCCAGTTGGTTAAGGAGTGCTGGGACTACAAAATCCCTTAAGGAGCATCATCAACAGCTCCTTGGAGCAAGGAATTTTTCCAGATTGCCTTAAAGAAGCAGTGGTCCACCCTCTCCTGAAAAAACCAAGCCTTGATGCTGCCATACCTAGTAACTATCGCCCTGTTTCAAACCTTCCGTTTCTGGGCAAGGTGATTGAACGGACAGTGGTGGGGCAGCTACAGCAATTCTTAGATGAGACTGCAGGTTTGGACCCCTTTCAATCAGGCTTTCGTTCAGGTCATGGGACAGAGACTGTCTTGGTAGCTATTACTGATGAAATTCGTCGTCAGTTAGACCGAGGCGGATCAGCGCTATTGGTACTCTTGGACCTCACAGCTGCATTTGACACCGTGGACCATGGCTTGCTGATTCATTGATTGGCTCTGTCTGGTGTACGAGGTTTAGCCCTCAAATGGTTCAATTCATTCCTCCGGGACCGGAGACAGAGGGTGGAGTGGTGAGGCCAAAGCTCTGAGAGCTCCTGCCTTTGCTGTGGAGTTCCCCAGGGTGCTATCCTCTCGCCCCTGTTATTTAACATCTACGTCCGACCACTTGCTGGACTGGTGCGGAGCTTTGGCATAGAGTGCTACCAGTATGCAGATGATACCCAGCTACTCTTGCGTCTCGAACCTGGGACAACCGTGATTCCTGAGAACTTTAAGCTGTGTTTGGAAGCAGTGATGAGTTGGCTACGAGCAAGCAGACTAAAAGTCAATCCTGCAAAAAATGAGATCCTACCTTTCGGTAGAAGCATTGGCAATGGTAATCCACGCAACAGTCACCACTAGGTTGGACTATTGCAATGCCTTATATGCTGGCCTTCCGAAGTCAACGACCCAGAAGATTCGGATGGTCCAAAATGCGGTAGCCAGGCTGCTAGTGGGATCATCTATAAGACTCCATATTACACCGATTCTGCAACAACTGCATTGGCTACCAATAGAACATCGGATCTCTTACAAGATACTGATCCTGACATTTAGAGCTCAAAATGGCCAAGGACCTTTATATCTTAGGGACCGCCTCATTCCTTTTCCCCATCAGTGGTTACCTCGATCCACCCAGGAAAATCTCCTATACATACCGGGTCCTAGGGAGGCACATTTGGAAGCTACAAGGCATAGAGCTTTTTCGATCTATGCTCCAATTCTGTGGAACTCATTGCCTCCATATATTAGAGCAATGTCGGAGTTGCGACCTTTTGTAAAGGCGCTCAAGACTTGGCTGTTTGGTTGTGCATTTAAGTAATCGGATCAAATTTTGCCATAGTCACTGCTGAATGTTTTTATGTTGAATGTTTTATGTTGAATGTTTTTATATTGAATGTTTTATATTGTGTATAAGCAATTTTAGATTGTAAGTCGCTCGGAGCACTTTGGTGGAGAGCGACTAATTAAGAAATAAAGTGATGATGATGAGGTAATGAGTGGAGGACAGAGGAGCCTCTTCAAGAAATTACAGGTCTGTGAGACCCAGAAATCTTGCTTGTTTGTAGGTGACCAAATACTTATTTTCCACCATAATTTGCAAATAAATTCGTTAAAAACCAGACAATGTGATTTTCTGGATGCGTTTTCTCATATTGTCTCTCACAGTTGATGCCTACCTAGGATGTCAATTACAGGCCTCTCTCGTCTTTTTAAGTGGGAGAACTTGTACAATTGGTATCTGACTAAATAATTTCCCCCCACTGTAAATAAATGAATAAACAGACCCATTCAATCAACGTTTATTTATTATTATTATTATTTGCCATATTTATACTCCGCCTTTCTCTACCCCAGCAGGGGGACTCAGGGCATCTTACAATGGTTGAATGGCCTGTCAATACAGAAGCAAACCCTACTAATTTAAATGGTCTAGACTAGCAATAGGGGTTAGGCTGTAAGATGTCTTATCTTTCACAGGCAAATTGACCCAAATCCCTTGCTTCCAACATAAGGCTTGCACCACCTTTCTGATTTACATCTTACGCTGTCTTGTGTATGTGAAAGGTCATGTTTCACTTTTCCACTTTATCTAGGTTAACTCCAGATCTTCTGTATTCCCAAATTTACATCTATTGTATTTATTTATTTACCGTACTTATATCCTGTCCTTCTCAACCCAAAGGGGGTTCAGGGTGTCCTTATAATGGCAAGAATTTGATGCTGAGTGTACACAAATCATTGATAAATAAGCAAAACATTAAAACCAACCAGTGAAAACATCACATTAAAACAACAACATAAAATCACATAATCCTGGTCATAATCCAGGGCCAGTCTGAGTTGTCAATGTTAATTTATAGTCTCTTCTTGCATGGTTCCCATTACTGACCAAAGGCCTGATCATGTTTTCAGTTTTTTCCTGAAGTCCAGGAAGGGTGGGGGTCTGATTTCATAATTGTACATATAATTAAAGCATTATTACCCTCAAACCAGAAGGAAGATGTTTATCTCTACATCTTAAATATCCCATGTGTGTGAAT